CTACTTTCACTGACATTTCGTATAGAACGGCTAAAGCCTCCGGAGGATCTGCTTCAGCACAGTTGAGGTATCAATACCGTAAAATATGGCAGATCAATCAACGTTTAGTGAGCCTACGACCAAGGCAGATGGTCCGATGGGTGATTTTGAATTCTTTATAGCGCCCATGTAGATATGAAATGATCGGATCAGGCTCAGTTGACGGTTTAGTAATCCCGTGGTTTCCAGCATCCTCAAGCGTTTCCGTCTGCCGACCGAGTCAGAGGCCTTGTGATATCCATGAAAACCACCAGCAAAATTTCTCAAATCCTCTGTGCAGGTCAGACAATAAATAACGGAAGAATAATGATTACGTTTGTCGTAGATTCTCATGATGTCTACCTTTCGGGCTGCGGACTGCGAAGACGTTTCTGTAACGGCAAAAGCCTGGTCTTTTGTACGGCAAAATATCAATGGTCTCCTTCCGTTTCTGCGAAACTTTGCCACTGTTCCAAATCTTTCACAAAAGTGCCTGCGATGCCTGACACCTATTTTCAAATGTTCGTTTCAACCGCTTAGATGGGTCCTGTGAGCACCGGATCCGCTGTCCTGCTGCTCTTCAATTTTCTCATACTTCGTGCAGAACTAACACCGTGGACTTTTCCACAGTGTGACCAACTACTCCACTTCGGATGCTCATTTTTCGGTTTCGATACTTTCCTTCAAACATCGACCCGTAAAACCATTCGTTCACGTGCTTCTGAGCCTTTGTGCTTTGTTCAGAACGGAGACGGCTCAGAGATGGAAGAGTTTTCTTTTCAGTGACTCCCTCCCAATCCTTCGATTCAGCTCGGTAGTCGCGATATCCTTCTCCAACATCGACCTGCCATAGCGGCGCATGAGTACTGTCGTCTTGGATAATAGTGCACCCTAGCTGCGTACAGTAATCGGTATTCGTCAAAGGTGTGCGGGAGTATGGTTTGCTTTACTCTCAGCCCAAACATACAAAACAGCAAACAAAATTGGGGCGTATTTCCTAGCGAAAATATGAAACGATATTGCAGTTCAGCAGAATGCGTCAGCGTTGGAACTGAACAAGAAGAAAAACAAGAGACAAGAAGAATCGGCAAAAATGGCAACATTGTGATGTCAGATCTATCTTTCACAGTCGTTGCCTTCTGTTCTACCGGCTTTTCTAAAGTTCTGGAAATGAATAATCAGCCTGATCTGATGCAGTTCTGTGCATACGTACTTGGCTGTCGCCCAGCGTCTGCTTAGCGAAAGAAAAAGAAGAAATCCGGGTTATGCCTTATGCTGATTATTAGTCTGAATAAGCAGCTATCAAATGGGTTAAAGAGAATTTCAGTCGCAAGAGGCGCTCTAATTAGACTCCCACTAGCATGTTCCTACGTCTCGTACATTCATGTATGCCCACAGCAGAATAGCATACTGTACCAGTTATTCGCAAGCCACCGGATTTACTGCCCGTTTCACGACCTGTTGAGCCGAGACAGAGGGCTAATTCGTTGCTTGAGAGAGTTTTCGGTTGAGGCAGATGCAGTTTAGCTGTCACGATTGTCGCATGTTGAGACAATTCACGACGGGCCGTTGTGTGGATTAGGATCTTGCATTTCAGGAGTTCAGAGTCACCCTCTTAGCCCGTGTGGCACCATACTCCGCAACAGGGCGCATAGCAACCTCTTTCGAGTACTGTTTATGCAAAGGATGGCTGACGTCAGTCATCAAGGTGTACCGTGACCGTATTGTTGTTTCGATGACAATAGAGGCTATCCGTTCACATCAATTATGATGAATGTAATGATCAGCAAAACGACACGGCGAACACCAGTACAGTTTTTCTTCCATAAAACGGCAGACTAAACCTCTAAACGAATAAAATCAATAAATTAATAAATGTCGGAGTCAGCAGGCATCCGAAGGACGCACCGGGGCGATGAAGTTCCATTGTGTAAAGGTACTCAGAGAATAGCAGCAGGCAGTTAAATCTGTGCTCAGCGAGGAGAGGATTATCCGATACCGTTGTTTCGTGTTGGTCTTGAATATATCGCTAGATATGATTACAAAACCCTTTGCAATAATGGGCGTAATAAAATAATGCCAATTTTATTGTCTGCGGCTAGCGGCATAAAGTAAATTCGTCTTAATTAAGATTGAGCATCACATCATTAAAACTCACTGGAGGTGCAAGAATCGCAAAGGCATCGCTAAACTGGGACGATCAAGTCTCTGTTCCGTTCCGTTCTGTGAGGGGGAGGATGAGAAGGAGGAGGGGGAGGAGGAGGAGGAGGAGAAATGTCAGATGCGAATGCGACGCAAAGCCACGCACGTGATCTGCACGCATGATTGCAAACAGCTGAGACGATGGGCTGGATGGCCGCCC